TGATCATCAGTCCTCCCTCTCTGTTACTGGCTTTCTTGAGTTCAGGTCAGTACTTAACCAAGGGAGTCTGCCTCTTCTTCGATCAGCCACTAAATGAAGTTTCTGTTTCCCAGACTCTCTGGCCATAGGATTGTAGGCTGGCACTCCCTAGATCTATGTCTAAAACCCATATATGAGAGAGTACATGCCATGTTTGTCTTTTTGTGACTGGGTTACCTCACTCAGGATGGTTTCTTCTAGTGTCATCCATTTGCCTGCAAATCTCAGGATTCCATTATTTTTTTCTGCTGAATAGTACTCCATTGTGTAGATGTACCACATTTTCTCTATCCACTCTTCAGTTGAGGGACATCTAGGTTGCTTCCAAGTTCTGGCTATTACAAATAAAGCTGCTATGAACATAGTGGAACAGACATCTTTGTTGTATGAATGGGCATCTTTTGGATATATGCCTAAGAGTGGAGTTGCTGGGTCTTGTGGTAGGTTTGTTCCCATTTTTCTGAGGAATCTCCATACTGATTTCCAAAGTGGCTGAAGCAGTTGCCATTCCCACCAGCAATGGAGGAGTGTCCCCCTTTCACCATATCCTCTCCAGCATAAATTGTCATTGGTGTTTTTGATTTTAGCCATTCTGACAGGAGTGAGATGGTATCTCAGAGTTGTTTTGATTTGCATTTCCTGGATGGCTAAGGATGTTGAGCACTTTCTCAAGTGCCTCTCAGCCATTTTAGACTCCTCTGTTGAAAATTCTCTATTTAGTTCTGCAGCCCACTTTTTAATTGGGTCCTTTGATGTTTTGGAGACTTGCTTCTTGAGCAAGACAAAAAGGCAGCCCACAGAATGGGAAAAATATTCACTAATCCCACATCTGACAGAGGGTTGATCTCCAAAATTTACAAAAGCTGAATTTCTTTCAGTTACTAGGGTTGGAGCTCAGGAATCTTTTTTGTAGAATGGTGATCCTGTGCACACTTGCTGCAAACAATAATATTTAGATAGCTCTGAATATTGCTAAAAGATATAAGATATAAAATTGAAGTATATCCCTCTATAGGGTATTGGCTCCCAATGTCCATTTTTATACTAGGGATAAGTTCTCTTCCACTACCAGAGGCCCCATAGACTGCCCAGATCTCCTAAATGATACCCACATTCAGAGGGCCTCGTTCTGTCCCATGCTGGTTTCTGAGCTGTCAATCTTGGGTCCATGAGCTCACCCTTGTTCAGTTCATCTTTCTGTGGGTTTCCCTAGGGCTTCCCCAAATGATGTGAAAGTCTTTGATGATCCCTCATGAAAGGCCTCACCCTTTCTATGGAGCAGAAGAAAAATGGAATGGGGGGGTCTTTGCGGGACATAGGAGGATGGGAAGAAGAGGGAACTGGATTTGATATATAAAATAAAGTTATTTCTAATTTAAATAAAAATATATATAAAATATTGAATGTAATTTAACTCTGCCTCCATTTGTGTGTTCATGCCTGTGTATGTGTTTTGTGTGTGTGTGTGTGTGTGTGTGTGTGTGTGTGTGTGTGTGTGTGCTAGTACCTCTATGCTCTGGGTGTGTTCATAAAACATAAACATTGGTAAAAGAAATGTGGACATTTCAGTCACTATTATGGTTGTTGGTCCCATTTATCACCTCATGTCAGTAGTATTTGTTTTATTTAGTGTAGCTATTTCTGCTTGGCTTGGATTCTATTTTCTTGGGTACAGTTTGCTTTCATCTTATTTCTAGTCTGGATATATATCTGTTCATGTGACTGACAGCAATTTGTTGGCCCTGTTGACCATTCAGTCAACTGATGCATGTCTTTGAAGTGTGAGCCATGACCATTTTGTTTATTTAGAAGGAACTTGCTGATTCCCTTGGTGTTGTTTTCCTTCTGGTTGCTTTCAGTAATTTCATTTTTATTTTTTTCCCTTCCCACCTCTTACTCTCTGCTCATCTCAGAGGCGTCCTAGTGTACTGATTAATCATGGCTGGTTCTTTCCTAATTTTCTTTATCTCTTCTCCTAGTAAGTTTTTTTACTTCTTTTGTGTGTTCTTGTTATCTAATGTGTAATGCTTCCTTATCTTTCCCTGTGTAGAACTGCTTTAATATCTTCTATAGTACCGACTTCACCGTCACAAATCTCTTTATGTTTGTAGTAGAAAATTTTTATTTCTCTAATCCTTAGAACAAATCTTTTGGATATGTTTACCTAGGTTGGCAGTTATTTTATTTCTGTTATTTATTCTTTCACAATTTGAAGGATTTATAGAATGTATTCTGACCACTCCCTATCCCACACCCTCCTTTCCTCCCATCCCCACTAATACCTTTCCTTTTAGTTTTCTTTTGTGACCTGTTTAAAGAGGGCCATCTTTGTGATCATGGGACTAGAACTATAAGTGGAGCCTCATAGGATCACCAATCCCTGCACAGTTGAAGGAAATGATTGCTCTCTTATGATTGCTCTCTCTTTAATCTGTTTCTTTGTTCCACACCATAGTGACCTTTACAGCTCATACTCAAAAAATATAGGCTGGGATTCTTGTGGATTTGCCTGAAAATATACTTTAAACCTCTTCTATTTTTGGTTTTGGTTTCTCATGACAGTGTTTCTCTGTGGCTCTGGAGGCTCTCCTGGAACTTGCTATTGTAAACCAGGCTAACCTCAAATGCACAGAGATCGGTCTGCATCTGCCTCCCGAGTTCTGGGATTAAAGTCATGTGCCAACACTGCCAGGCCCCACTTTCAACTTCTTCTAACTGGTTCATGAATGCAGCTCAGCCGTAACTCATGAAGGCATGGCACTGAGGCAGTTGACCACCAGTGCCTCTTCTACAACAAGGTCATATACCTTCTATTCTTTCTCAAACATTTCTACCAACTGTGGAACTAAACATCCAAATATATGAGTTATGGGGGACATTCTCATTGAAACTACTACACCTCTGTCAAATGTGCTGTGATGGGCCTGATGGCAAGTTCTACTCAGATAGAAGGAAGCAAACAATGGTATTGACTATAATATTGTTAAAATCCAGATGTTGAAATATGATATTAGTCATAATACCATTAACAAAAGAACAAGTGGACACAAACAGAATAAAGATAATTGTTAAGACTAAATTAATTATTGAATGCCAACTATCTTGGCATATGCAGTGGTAAACAATAATTACACACAGTTTGAGGCTGAGGGGATGTTTCATCAGTTAAGCTCTTGCTTCACAAGCATGAAGGGCAGACTGTGGATCTACAGAAAACCACAAAAGTCCCTAGTGTTGTGAGAATCTGCCTGTGATTCAAGTTTTCAAAGTCAGGGGCAGAAAATCTCACAGCAATTGACTGGCAAGAGTAGCCATGCCAAATAACTCCGGTTTCATTGACTTTGCTTCAGTGAGTACAATTTAAGAACAATACAGAATTATTCCTAACATTAGTTTTGGCCATACACATCCACACACATTTGTATTCCCACATACATATAAACATACATACACACACATGCACACACATACCTCATTCACATACACATTTGCAAAGTGTGGTGCTGGGGACACAGAGGTTCTTGCACTCACAGAAATGTGCCTGGGAAAGCAGGAATATTAAACATGTAGTGCTGTCTCTTCAAATGAAAAGATGAATAATCTGTTTTCTGTTCAGAATGCCAGGAATGGAGGTGGCTAATAGCTTTGGTGTCCTCTGTGCTATTGGTAGGACCAGAGTCACATCTGGCTCTCCTAGGTTTCCACTAACAGGACCAGAGATGGTGAATAATCTAGGTGACTTCTGTGTTCAGTTTGCCCAGGAGCTCTGCCAGACTCTTGCTAATAGACATGAAGATTGTTAATAGCCAGATGACCTAGAGATCATTGTTCCTTCTTTATAAAACCCTTAGTATATGGGGTTGAGAAGCAAAAAAATCTTTTTATACAATATATTCTGATTACAGATTTCCCTCCCCCAACTCCTTTCAGATCCTTCCAACCTCTCCACCATTCCCCATCTCCATAATTCTATTATCATGACTCCATCTGGAATTCATGTAGTTGGACTTCTTACAGTAGTAGCCTTGATACATAGTGTTTTTTGCCTAGGCATATACATCTTGGTAAAATCAGGACTTTCCTCACTGTACCAAAAGAAAATCCATACAATGGATTTATGTGTGCTATTTTTCTGATAAACATGTATATAAATTCCTTGAAATCTATGTAGTTAATCCTCATAACTTTCCCATGGAGCACATGCATTCTGTAATGGAAATGGGGGCAGAGTCATGACATGTTCTTTCCTCAATGCTATTGGGTTCTGGGCCTCTAATGGAAGGGAAACCCTGATCACCTTTTTTTCCCTGGAAAGTATTTTCTGAGTTCTGTTAATATAACTGAATGTTTAATTGCCTTTGTGATTGGCTTTTGGTTATGCCCCCATCACACTCTGATGAATTCTCTTCTCCACAAAGTTCAATATGCACAAGCTAAACAGAATTTGCCAAATATTTAAGTTATGCTCCCCCTGTGATAATTTATCTATCTTGAACTTGCTCATTTTTTGTGTCTACAATGCACATTTAGAGAAAGGCATACTGTGCTTTAAAACTTTTCTTAGAAATTTATCACACAGTTCATTATTCATGAAATCTTCATTTCACAACCATTATGACATAAATATAACTGAGCCTAGATTTTCAGGCTCTAACAGAGGTTAAATAGCAGAGGTAAATTAGATCATAGGAAACAGTATGTTAAGAATATACAATAACAGGAAGACCCAAAGACCTTCCTCATATTCAAACAATCTTGAAACTTGCAGATTATATATGCTAGTAACATACTGATCACTTTATGTCCAATTTCTCATTCAGGAAAAAGAGCTATTTAGGGAAGCAAAATCAGTAGAAGTGCAAACCAATGGCCTTTTTTAAAACCAGTGTAGTATTTGAGTTATAACAAATTTAAATTCATCAATAATTTTACATTTCTCCAAAAGATCATAAATGCCATTATCAGATATAAACATTTCCTTTTAATGCTTTTATCACTGAATCTTTGACTTGTTGATTTCTCAGACTGTAGATAACTGGATTTAACACAGGGATGATAACTGTGCAAAACAGAGAGTCCATCATGTCTTGATCATCTGTTTGTGGAGATGCAGGGCGTACATACATGAAAAGAAGAGAACCATAGTATAAAGACACAGATAGGAGATGGGCTCCACAGGTGGAGAAGGCTTTCTCTATACCCTTGAAAGACTTGCTTTGTAAGATTGTAAAGATAATACAAGTGTAAGAGACTATAACTCTTACCATGGTGACTACTTGAATGGAACCAGCCAAGGTAAATACCAGTAGGAAATTAATGGAAGTATCAGAGCACGAAATCTTCAACAATGACATAATATCACAATAAAAGTGATGGATTATATTAGAATCACAAAAGGTTAATCTGAGTAAAAACAGTATATGAAACAAGGAATGAAGAAAGCTACCTACAAATATTGAAATTAGTATTCGGATGCATAGCTTATTGGTCATAATAACTGGATAAAGTAATGGTTTGCATATGGCTACATAGCAATCATAGGCCATTGCACCTAAAAGAAAGCATTCTGTGGTTCCACCACATGAGAAGGCAAAAAAATTGTATCAAGCATTCAGAAAGTGATATCATCTTGTTCTTGGATAACAAGTCAACCAGCATATTAGGAGTCACTGGGGATGATATCCAAGCACCTACAAAAGCCAAACTTCCAAGGAAAATATACATAGGGATATGGAGCTGGGGGTCACTGTAGATTAGAGCAATGAGTCCTAGGTTTCCCACAACAGTGAAGACATATAACACCAAGAATAGCAGGAACAGGGGCACTTGCAGCCCTTGATGATATGCGAGTCCTGTGAGAACAAACTCTGTCAGCAATGTTGCATTCTCTTTTTCCAGGTGTTGTTCACTGGACATTGCCTGAAAAGAAATAACATAAATATAATGGAACATTCACTGTTATTTTAAGGTCAGTATGGGGGCAGGATTTGATATGAACTCACATTCTTACAAGAAGTCTTTCAATTTTTCAGATTTTCTGGAGATAGTGTTACAGGTGTTTGTGAGCCACCAAATGGGCACTAGGAACTGAACCTGGAACCTTTCTGTAAGAATTACAAGTGCTTCTAACTGCCAAACCATCTGTCCAGCCCCGTTCTTCCATTTGCCCTTTTAGTACCAACTTCCATACAATAAACTCATTTCCTATGTTAAACCTATAGCACATATCCAAAGGAGAGATAACAGAGAGGCAAGGAAAGCATATTAAGCAGAGTGGTCAAAGAAAGGAGCAGGAGTGTACCAGAAGGCTAAGTATTGTGGACATGGAAAAGAACATAAAAATAACATAGAAATACATTGCCAAGTCAAAAACCAATGCCTAGGTAGAGAGAGAAAGTGACGAGACATTGTTTAGAGGGCAAATACGGAGATTTTTAGTGGCTTCAACAAGCCACTTTATTGAATGAAATAAAAGTCATGGAGTAGCAAGATGTTAATGTGAAAGAAATGGCTTGAGATAAGGAGCATGGGTGATATAGAGCCTTCATCAAACACAGAGGACTGTAAATACTTGTCTATGTTTCATGGATCCATCTAAATCCTTTCTTCTGTAAAATTCTTTTAGCAAGTTCTCAAAAGAAAGAGTGGGCAACTGAGAAGAAATCGATAAGAAAGAGTGGATAATCAGAGAAGAAAAGAGAGAAAAGAGATGAAAATTCTGAACTTACATGGATGGAAATGAAATAAAATGTCATAAAAATAGCCAAAAGTAACAGTCATAAATTGATAAGTATAGTAAAGGCAAGCCAAGAGGATAAGAAGCAGCTTGAGAGATGACCAAAGAAAATAATGGGAAAAGCCCAGAGGTCTGGGTAGAACATTTGCCCTAACCCTCATGTTCATTAAAACTGCATTATCAGAATCACTTCACTTTAAGAATTTATTTATTTTATTATGGAATCTATATGTGAGTAAGAGGAGTTTTCAACTTTAAAATTCATATTGTTGTAAGTACAGTGGCAGTGACTGAAGGTTTGTTCTACATTAAAGGGATACTTTATCTCATTTTAGTACATAACAGGAGCCAAGTAATGAGTAGACACATATTGTGTGAAGAACCAATGCTAACAATTGTGCAGATAAAGTAAGATCTTATATTGAATGAGTTTGCTTACATGATATCCCTAAGCACAGAGTCATTGAAAATCCTCAAATACGGTGTATGCAGGTATCTCTCAAATAAAATGTTGATATATATGTATGTATGTATATACAGATACATTCTCCTATGAGTATATAAATATATTATAATATATAACTAATATTTTTATATAGTCTCAATTATATTTATATGTATTTATATGAGTGTTCCAGTGTTCATATTTTTGTACATATATATTTTATAATGATAAATATTTTTACATATTTTATATCTATATCACCTTTAGATAAGACATTCAATGGAACTATTGTTGCATGAGGAGCCAAAACAGAATTGCTGTTTAATTTTTAGAACTTCAGTTTTAATTAAAACTATAATTCTCTTGGATGAGTCTTTATATTAGAATTATCTAATTATTTCTTATACAAGAAAAATGTCATCATTCTGAGAACTGAATTTTGAAGTACCCTTATTTTTTCTCAACACAACTGAAAAGTCCTAATAATTCTGGTGGAATGGCAATACATCTTTATTCATGGTATAGTTAAATTTATAGTTGTGTTCCTTCCTCAGATTTTAGTGATAAAAATAATGCAAGCAGATTTTTCATTCTTTAAGTTTTAAAAATACCCCTACCTATTTTTGCATTTGTAAATAAATTTCAAAATTACTATAAGTTCATAGACTTCAAATCTTGTAAATTTTAAATCACTTTTACAAAGATTAATATTAAGAAATATTTGCAATGTTATCAGTACCTTCTATGGAATTGTAGAGATTCTTCAAAAGCAGAAATAACACATGACAGCACTGATGTGAAGACCATGTAGGTTACTGACTCACTTGGATGGCTTAACTTACGAAGGTAAGGGAAATGCTGTTTATATGATTAATCTTTGGACACAGTGTCAAACAATTGAATATGTGCAGTTTTTTCCTGGGGAAGAGGATGTGGAGAACTGGGATTCCCCTTAGAATGCTTTAGGATTCCCTGTGGGATGAAATGCAGTTCATTAACTGTGTATTGCTGATGGAGGTGTGTGCAAAATCAGGTCTTCCCAAAGGATTGATAAACATCAAATCTCAATGAGCAAGTCAGCTTAATAAATTAAAAATCACACTCAATTTCATTCTATTTCATCATAGTGTCATGCCTGGTGGCTTTATGCTAACTTTGGCTTAGAAATGAAATTTTAATCAGGGAGTGTTTTGATGTCACAATGTCTATACTAATAAAAACATAATTTTTATAAAATAACTGGCTACATTTTTTACAAGATAAAATCCAAAAATAGTAGTCCTGATAATGCAAATAACATCTTGCATTTGAACATTTCTAAACGCCCTTAGTTTAATAATAAATCTGATTAAAATTTATAGTAGTAGGCATAAGAATAGAGAAAAACAAAAACAGATGTTGTACTATAGAGACCAATAGCCATGCTGTTCAAATAGCAGTGTCCATGAATTTGCAGAGTTGAGGACCTGTCAGTCACTTCTTAGTGATTCTACCCAACATCACCAAAATTTTTATTTCAATAAATTATCCTTTTAGTAGACATTGTATATTCAAAACATAACAATGTGTGAGGGTTTGTGTCTAAATGTGAATGCAAACATATATTTATATAAATAAAAATGTTTTTTATAATAGAGGAATCTCATAACAATAATATCATTTATTTATTTTTTAGCTTTTTTATTACTTTAATTTTAAATAGCTTGCTTCACATGTCAAACCCAGTTCCCTCTCCCTGCCCTCCTCCCACACAGCCCCAACATTCCCTCCAGCCTCCCACCGTATCCACACATCCTTCCACATATGGGATATCCAGAGTCTGTCATTTCACTCAAAGCAGGGTCCAGGTACTCCCCTAAGAATCCAGGCTGAGAGAGCATCCCTCTTTGTGTTATGGACACACAAATTCCATTTGTATGCCAGGGATAAACACTGATCTACTGCCTAGGGCCCCATAGATTGTCCAGCCTCTTTACTGTCTCTCACACTCAGAGGGTCTGGATCAGTCCCATGCTGGCCTCAGTCTGGTGTCCAAGAGCTCCCCCTTGTTCAGATCAGCTGTCTCTGCTGATTTTGCCAACCCATTCTTTGCCAAATTGCTCATGCTTCTCCCTATCTGTCACTGGGTTCCATGGATTCAGTTCAGTGTTTAACTGTGAGTGTTTGCCTCTGCTTCTATCATTCACTGGATGAAGGTTCTAGGATGGCATATAAGGTAGACATCAAGTTCATTTTATCAGGAATAGGCATTTAAGGTGGTCTCTTCACTATTGCTTAGCTTGCCAGTTGGTGTCATCCATTTAGATCAATAGAGGTCTCACTGGTGCCTTATCTGTCTTCTAACCTATGACTCCCTCTTTTATGGTATTTCTCATCCTGTTCTCCCCATATTCTACCACCCACTCAACCTTCTTGTTTGTTGAAAATTAACAAATGGGACCTCCTGAAACTAATAAGCTTCTGTAAAGCAAAGGACACAGTCAACAAGACAAAAAGGCAGTCCACAGAATGGGAAAAGATATTCATTAACCCCACATCTGACAGAGGGCTGATCTCCAAAATTTACAAAGAACTCAAGAAGCAAGTCTCCCAAAAACCAAAGACTCCAATTAAAAAGTGGGGTACAGAACTAAATAGAGAATTCTCAATAGGGGAGTCTAAAATGGCTGAGAGCCACTTGAGAAAGTGTTCAACATCCTTAGCCATCAGGGAAATGCAAATCAAAACAACTCTGAGATACCATCTCACTCCTGTGAGAATAGCTAAAATCAAAAACACCGAAGACAATTTATGCTGTAGAGAATGTGGAGAGAAGGGAACACTCCTCCACTGCTGGTGGGAGTGCCAACTGGTACACCAACTTTGGAAATCAGTATGGATTCATTAGCCTGGATAGACTGTGACAAAATATTATAGGTAAGCTATTGCAAAATACCTAATCACAACCTGTAAATATTTAAAACCGGCATTACTACTGTATAATTCCAGAGACCCACATCCCAATATGCTTGAAAATAAGTCCTCAGAAGTTCTCCTGAGGGGCATAGCAAAAGCTCCAGAAACACTGGAAGGTTATCAATCCAGTGGCTGTCATCCTTTCTTCTTAGAAACCCCCTTGCTAATGCATGTGTTTTGTTGTTGTTATAGTCTACTACGTTTAGCTTCATTTTTCTACATGTCACTACCAAGTTTGACCAGTCACATTTGCTAATTCTGTCTTTCTCCAATTAATATTTTTGGTTGTGTTGTAAAATTTCATATGGAGTTTGAAGTGTGAATTTCTGTGAAGGTCCTAAATTCTATTCTATGGAACTGTTTTAGATGCAAATACCATGATATCTTATTGTAACTTTGTGTATAACTTGAAATATTGGATGGTCATACCTCCAGCAGTATTTCTTTCTTTCATCCTTCCTTTATTTCTCTCTTTCTTCTTTCTCTCTTTCTTTCTTTCCCTTTTTGATTTGCAATAGCTAGGGTATTTTGTACTTCCAAATGAAATTTAAAATTATTTTTCAATTTCTGTAAAGAATTACATTGTAATTTTGATGTAAACTGTGTTGAATATGTAGACTAATTTTGGTAGTGGCCATTTTCACAATATAGATGCAGGAGATTATAGGTTTTTCTCATATTCTGAAACAGGAATGATTAAATTAGAGTGCAAGAAGGGTAGGTAAGTTATTGGGAGGAGGAAGCATAAAGAGGGATAAATTAAAAATGACTTTCTGAAAA